AAAAACCCTACCAAAACCTAGAACCTACAATATAAAAAAGCCTAAGACTAAAGACTAGAAAGAAAAAAAAAGGCTGAAGAGAACGGACAAAGCTGAAACGAAAAAGTTGAACCAAAAAAGCAGCGCAACCTTTAGACCCCCCCCCTTCATCGGATATCGGAAAAGCGAAAAAAATAATGCTGAAAGAAAGTTGAAGAACGAAAAAGTCGAACAAAAAGGTTGCGCAGCCTTGACAGAAAACGACCCCACCCCCCGACTCCATCGTCTCCGACGACCCCTGCGCGCAAAAATGAACCTCCCGACCTTCGTCTTTACCAAGATCGTCAAAACCAGCAGTTGCAACACCTCACATACAAGCCCACTTACTGAACCTTTCCGCCGTTTTTGTTGACCTCGCCAGAGAACGAGCCCACATCCGGCAGCAGCTGTCGTCGAACACTACGAACGCCGGCGAGAATAGACCTATGATCCCGTTGCTCGTTTTCCTCTTCCGACACTGTTGTTCCGACAATAACCACCGTTGAATTGGTGATTCCGTCTTCACTAGCTCCACCGGTGACTGCACATACACAGTCGAGAAACACAAATCTTTTTCCACAAAAATAAAAAAAAATAAAAAGGAAACTAAAAATACAGATCTGTTCACTTTTTTGATTCCGTTTGTTTGGGTTTCAAGGACGAATTTTGGTTAAGCTTTGGGTTTGAATCCGAGCTTGGTTGAGTTTTCGGTGCTAATTTGGGTTCCGTCCGCGGTTCGTCACATTTTTGAGTGTTAAACATTGAAACACCATTTTTTCGGCTATATTGAGGTCCAATTCTATCATTCTCTATCCGCTTTATGCAAGCTTAATGTTAAATGTTTGTTTGGTGATATGATCCCGTTGTTTGTGTAGTTGTTTTTTTAGTTTTGAATTTGCTCGCATGTTTGTTCGAATTGGTTATAGCTGAACGTGATTTTGTCACAGTATAGAAATTGGATTGCTGAACTATGTCAATTAGATTAAAGGGACTCGGGTGTGCTTTTCATGTGACTCGATTCAAATTTCCAACAAGGTTAAATAGAGGGTGTCGTGAACCACGGGTGCATTTCATGTAGTGTGGCTTGCGATATGTTTTAAGTGACCTTGAATTAATTCTTTAAATAAGTAAAAGCGTTTTTCAAAAGTTAAAATGCACATAGGTTTAAAAGTGTTTTAAAATCAGATAATAAGCCTAATATAACAGTTGAGCGACCGTGCTAGAACCACGGAGCTCGGGAGTGCCTAACACCTTCTCCCAGGTTAACAAAATTCCTTACTCGGATTTCTGGTTCGCAGATTGTTAAACAGAGTCAAGCTTTTCCTCGATTCGGGATTCAATCGGTGACTTGGGACACCATAAATCTCCCAAGTGGCGACTCTAAATCTTTAAATAAATAAATCATGTTTCGATTGTCCTTTAATTGGAAAAACTCCCTTTATACCCCTTTACGGGGGTGTAAGTATAAAAAGGAGGTGTGACAGCCTCGTTAAAAACCTCCTTGAGAAAACCTAATTGGGACAAAACTCAAGTGAGGAAAAAAAGAGTACAATTTGGGGGACACTTCTAGAAGTTGAAGTATTTGAAGTGGCTGATATTCCAATTGTTTGGCAATTGTTTTCTACCATTGTCTCTAGTTTGAACGAACCCTTGTTTGCTCTACTTGTGATTTTGAATGGTCCGTCCCAATTGGTTCCTAATTTGCCGTCTCGTGAATCTCTATTTGCTTGGGTTTTGGCTTTAAGTACGCAGTCCCCGATCTTGAGCTGTCTGACCTTTGCTTTTTTGTTATAGTAACATTTCGCTTGTTATTTTTGGGCAACCATCCTTATGTATGTCATATCTCTTCGTTCGTCTACCTCATCGAGCAATTGTCTTATACTTTTGTCGTTGGCGGTGCTGCTTTCGTAGGAGTACCTTAGGATGGGTTCTCCGACCTTGACTGGTATAACTGCTTCTATTTCGTAGATCAGTGAGTAGGTGTTTCTCCCGTGCTCGTCTTGGGTATGGTGTTGTATGCCCATTAGACTTCTAGGAGTATTTCTAGCCACAACCCATTGGCTTCTTCAGGTTTCTTCTTCATTATGTTTAATATAAAATCTTTGGAGAATTCTGCCTTCCCATTGATCGTTGGGTGATAGGGAGTTAAAAGTATCCTATTAATGTGCCATTTCTAAAAAAATGGTGGTTTTCTTTCCCGTGATTAGGGTCCGTTGTCACAACTTATTTCTTTGGGTAGGCCAAATTTGCAGATGATATTTTTTCATTGAATGCAATTACTTCTTGTTCGCATACTTGGGCGAACGCTTCTACTTCTACCCATTTAGAGAAATAATCAGTTAAAACTAAATGAAATCGTACATTACCTTGCCCCAAAGGGAGTGGGCCCACGATGTCCATTCCCATTTGATAAATGTCCATGGAGAGGTGACTGAATGAAGGTGTTCTCCAGCTTGGTGAATTATTGGGGCGTATTTATGACATTGCTCGCATTTCATCATGAATTTTGAGGCATCTTTTTCCATGGTGGGCCAGTAGTACCTGGCTGGTATGAGCCACCTGATGAGTTCTCGATCACCAGAATGAGCTCCCCAGTGCCCTTCATGTACTTCCTCAAGGACACAATGTGTTTGGTTTGGACCCAAACACTTTGCTAATGGGCTGTCATATGTTCTTTTGTACGAGTCGTTATGAAGGAGGCTGTATCTGGATGCCTGCATTCTTAGTTTTTAGCTTTATTTTTGTTGCTTGGGAGCGTACCGTACTGTAAGTAGGTGATAATACAATTGCATCAGTCCCAAGTTAAACTTACAGATCCTACCTCAATTTGGTCTAATGACGAGTTGAGGAGGTGGACTACACTTTTATCCTCGGTTGTGATGCTTTTGGTGGTTGTGACTAAATTGGCAAGGCCATCTGCTTTGATATTCTGGGCTCGCAGGTTTTGGTCGAGCTGGCATTCGTCGAAATTGGGCATCAACTTACAAATCTTGGCTTGATATTTTTACAACCTTTGTTCTTTGACCTAGAAAATCCCTGTAACTTGGTTGACTACGAGCTGAGAATCACAATGGAGGTTCAACCGCTTTGTCCCATATTTGAGTGCTAGTCTCAACCATGCAAGTACGACCTCATACTCGGCCTCGTTGTTAGTCATATCCGGGCATCTTATGGACTGGCAAATTTCTTTGATGGTAGGAACCTCGAATATGAGTCCTAGTCCAAATCCAGAAGCATTGGGTGTAACGTCAGTGTATAGGACCCAGAGGTCTTGTGTTTGAAGAGAAGCTTAAGCTGCTTCCTTCTCGACCTCAAGCATTACTTTTGCGCTGAAGTCGGCGATCACTGGCGAGTTTATCATTGTTCTAAGCTGATATGTGATGTCATGCTCACTTAGTTCGGTGACCCACTTGGCCAGCCTCCCCGACAGCTTGGGTCTATGTAAAATGCTTACCGAGATAGGGTGACACTGGAAATAGGGTCTAAGCTTTCGTAAAACTACGACTAGTTTCTTGAGGTGTGGGTACCTCGTCTCGGCATCGACGAGTATTTTACTGATGTAATAAATAGTAGACTGCGTACCTTTATTTTCTCGAACTAGGACCACACTTACTGCTACTTCGGAGACGGCGAGGTAGATGGGGAGGTGTTCCTTGGGTTCAGGCTTCGAGAGTAGATGCGGTGGTAATAGATACAACTTTAGTTCTCGTAGAGCTTGTACGCAATCGTGCATCAGCTCGAGGCCGTTATCCTTTTTGAGTAGATCAAAAAATCTATGACATCTATTGGACAATCGCGAGATAAATCCTGATAGGGTGGAGATTCTACCAGTCAACCTTTGGACCTGCTTCTTAGTAGTTAGTTGTTCAAGTATCCCGTCGATAGCCTTGATTTGGTATGGGTTGACTTCTATCCCTCGTTATGACACTAAGAAACCCAAAAACTATCCCGAGGCTACGCCGAATGTGTATTTCTTTGGGTTCAGTTTCATCCCGTACAGTCTTAGTATGTCGAAAGCTTCCCTCAAGTTGTCGATATGGTCTTATGCCCTCCCGGATTTGACTAGCATGTCCTCAATATATACCTCCATGGTCTTGCCAAGTTGGTCTTCGAATATTCTTGTGACCAATCTCTGATAGGTGGCTTCTACGTTCTTCAACCCGAACGACATGGCCCTATAACAATAAGTTCCTTTGTGGGTGATGAATGTGGTTTTCTCTTGGTCCTCTTCATATATGAGTATCTGGTTATAGCCCGAGCATGCATCTAGGAAACTCAGTAGCTCATGCACGACCGTTGCGTTGCTGAGTCAGTTGATATGTGGCAACAAGAATGAATCTTTCGGTCATGCTTTGTTCATGTCTGTGAAGTCTACACACATCCTCCATTTCTCATTTTTTAACCATCACCATGTTGGCTATCCACTCGGGGTATGATGGATCCATTTTGTAATAGCTTTTCTACCTCCTCATGGACGACATCATTGATGATGAGGTTAAAATATCGTCTGACTTGCCTTACAGGGGGATAGAATGGGTCGATGTTTAACTTGTGTGTGGTGATGTTTTTGGGTATGCCTTTTTGCTGGAGTCATTGGGATCTAATTGAACGAGGTCGAGGTTTTCTATAGTTGAGTCCGCGGCTTTGACCGTTTTAGTATCTATAATGACGTACCTGGTCGCTTCTTGGGTTGACCTCGACTCTGTTGATTGTTATGCTTCTTTTTCCTTATCTTTCTTTTGTTGGGTTGTTGAGCCATCTATGGCAATGAGGTAGAATTCCCAGGACATTCGTTTTTCCCCTCGTATGCTGAATATTCCTCAAGGTGTTGGGAACTTGATCACTTGGTACAGACTGGAAGGGACGACTCTCATGGGATGTATCCTTAGTCGTCCTACTATGGCATTATATGCGGTGGCCTGGTCTATGACGTGGAATGTTGTCTCCAGAGTTATGCCATCGGCGAGGATGGAGAGTGTAATTTATCTCGATGTCCGTTCAACTGCATTGTCAAAACCGGTTAGTATGATACAGTGTGGCACTATCTTGTCCTCGAGTCTCATCTGGGAGAGGACTCGAGGATTGATAATGCACGCTCCGCTCCCATGATCTACCATAATACATTTAACATCAGTATCTAAAATTCGTAAAGTAATGACAAGAGCATCGTTGCAAGGGAAAGTCAAATCGTCGGCATCTGACTCGTTAAAAATGATGCTTTCTTCGAGTCCGCCATACCGTTCATGGTTGATCCATCTTTTGAGCTTGTGAGTGGCAGTGAACTTGACGTCATTGATGGATGCATCGTTGCCTCCAATAATCATATTGATGGTGCGGGCTGGTGAGGGCAGATCCGATGGACCTTGACGTTCTCGACCCGTGGCGAATGTGCTCCTTCCCTTATCGGTCAATAGCTCTTTGAGGTGCCCTTGCTGCAACATGTTCACTACCTCTTGCATTAGGGCGATGCAATCTTCTGTTTTTTGTCCGCGTTCCTGGTGGAATTCGCAGAGGGTGTCGGATTTCCTGGTACTTGGATCGGACCTCATCTTTGGTGGCCATTTCACCTTTGTTCCGACTTTCTCAAAGGCGTAGACTATTTTTGTAGGTGAAACACAAAAGTTGTGAGTAAATAACAAGGGGGGATACCTCTCTCATTCCTATGAGTCCCCGTTCTAGGCCTAGATGAGGGATCATCATAATGGAAGGGAGGAGAGGTAGTGGCCCTGATGTAAGGCTGACGTCGTTCCCTGTTTGGCCTTGAGACCAGGTGATCCCTTCTTATGTTATCTGTTTGTTCTTTCCTGTGCTTGGCTTGTATTGAGGTGAGCCGTCGAGTTGGTCTGTTGAGGTCGTCATCATCTACTCGAACTTCGGCACAGTAGGCATTTTGGATTTCGTCTCAAGTGGTTGGAGGGTACTTGATCAATCGGCTCAGCAACTTTCTGGTTGCTCTTGAGCCTTCTCTACTCATCCCATTTTGAAAGGCTGCGACCGCCATCCCTTCGGACACATTTGGTAAGGTCATCCTTACCCGGTTGAATTAGGCAAGGAAGTCCCTTAGTCCCTCTCCTACGGACTGCTTGATGGAGAAGATGTCGTTTACTCTTGTTTCAACTTTCTTGGCCCCGACGTCCGCCATCACGAACTTATCATCCGTTTCTTTGAATTTTTCTATGGAAGGGGATGGTAGCTATGAATACTACATTAATGCCCCTCCAATGAGGGTTTCGCCAAATTTCTTCAGCAAAATGGAGGACACATGTTCCTTAGTAAGGTCGTTACCTTTTATGTCGGTGATATAATAATTCACGTGATCTTCAGGGTTGGTTTTCACGTCGTATATCCTGAGATATAGTGGTATTTTGAAGGTCTTGGGCATGTCTCGTCGCATATCCTAAGATATGGTGGCATTTTGAAGGTCTTGGGTATGGCACATGGGGCCGATTCCTCGTATACGGCTGCTCTATAAACCTGCCGGCGTCCTTCTTTGGCAGTAGGTATCTTGTCGACTCGTTCTTGGTGTTCTTTCATTTGGTCTCTGAGCGTATTGTTATCATTCTCCATTTCTTCAATTCTTTTTAAAACAACAGCGAGGACGCCTTCACCTGCACTATCAGTAACATTGTGAGTTATACTTGGCGTTAGAGGGTCTGATTGATCGCCATGCTTATCTCCTCGCTGTACCGTGTGGGCTCTCGGTGGTTTCTATAGTCGTTCATGGAGCTTGTTTGTTGAGCACGCTTACTAAGGTATCGGTCAACCATGCTTTGAGGAGCTTTTCCATGGTAGGTGGCGTCCCTTCTCCTGTAGACGTGGAAGACCTTTATCCATTTGGTTTCGTCGTGCTACAGTGAGGAGGGAGACCTCTCGCGTCTGGGGGAGGCATCAGGTGTCACATCATCTCCTAGTGTTTCAAATATCTTGTTAATATCATTCATGAGGTTGCCGGGGATGTCACCTGTCACCTTTGCTCCATTTCCTTGGTGGTCTTCCATGTAAACTTCTATACGTGTAGAGAAGGAGAAAACTTTGTGGTTTGTTAGGTTTAACAAATCACGTAAGTTGTAGATCTAATGGAAACTAAAATATTAGCTAAGAAGTCCCCACAGATCTGGGCTTAGAAAGTTAGATTTAATAAAATAAAGTCAATTTTAGCCAATATTAATGTCCAAAAGATATATTAACTGATTTTGTAGTGAGACTAAGTGGCAATAAATGTTGATAATACTAGCAATATTCAATGACCAAAAAGGAAGGAGATAATATTAAATAATAATAAATAGCGATGAATGACACTTAAATAAATTAGAACATGTAAGTCACTCGAAAGGGACGAGATCCGTGGATATTCTTTCTGAAAATGATGAATGATTGATGAACCTTTGAATATTCAGATAGTTCTTGGATCGTATGAAAAAGTTAGGCAAGAATCTTAAGAAAAAGGTATATTTTGTATGTGTGCAATATAGCTATTCTACAGAGAATGTTAATATGTTCTCTTATAAGTAAATATTTCATGTCTCCTATAATTATATCTTTTTCTATTTGTAAAGGAACACGCATATACCTAAAATCCTAATAGTACAGGTATAGAAAATATTCACTGGAATATTCTCGTTAGTGTTTTATCCTAAAATTAGCCGTTATTACCCCGTCTAAGATGAGTGTTTGTACTCGGCCTTGATCTATAGTGACTCCTCGACCCCGCCCTTAATCTTTTGTGAGACCACTTGACCTTGGGCAGACCTTTGTTGAAGTCATACTGGTGACACGTGGTAGCCCTTCAAGGCCTTTGTAATGCTTATATGCCTATACAACAACTGAGTATGTCCCAATAGGCACAAAGGAACTGATTGTATTAGGTCCTATCTGGTTCCTCAACAAAGTTTGACAAATCATCAAAACCATAATCACATAACTTATCAGCTTAACACAATTGACATTAGGTGGTTGTAGAAACTTCAGCTGCAGCTTCTGGAAGAATTGTATGTTCATGACATGCCACGTGTAAAAGGGGTAGGTACTGATTTTTGTGGATGTGATCATCCCTTAAATTTGGTTTTTCCAGCACTGGAAGTTCTGAGGTTTGAGAACTTGCAGGAATGGGAGGAATGGTACATTTCTCTCAGTAATGCATTTCCTCGACTCCGTGAGCTTAGCATATGCAGTTGTTCCAATTTGAGTATTGTTTCTCTCCCTAATTTTCAGTACTTCGTGAGCTAAGTTTAGATTAATGTAACGTGCAAATCCTTAGAAGCATTATTGGCATATGGGGATTCAGTCTACTATTTGAAGAGTTCACACAGTATGTGAGATCACTTGAGGATCTGGATATAAATTAGTGTGGGGAACTAACATTGTTGTTGGATGGTAAATCTTCAATCGAACATCTCAGTAATCCGAAAATTTTGGGAGTTTAAGTGTCCCCAACTGAAGTGCTTGTCGCTATAAGAGAATGCATTGCCTCACTTGAATCTTTATCCATATGTAAGTGCTCTAATTTTGAGAAGCTTCCCTATGGATTTGACAATGTATTATCTCTCAGACAGTTGCACATCATAAAAAATTGTGTCACTTGATGTTGCTGAGCAATCTACCATGCTTAAACAAGTTGAAATTGCACATTGTGAGGCTTTGGAGACCTTGCCTTATGGGAGCCATTGACTTGAGGAGCTTAAGATTGACGACTGCCCATCACTAATTAAGGTCCATCTCAAGTGACAGACTGCATAGTACTCTTAAGATACTCCGATCCAATTGATAAATATAGGGAGCTCGCTTCAGTTTCAGGTACATTGCTGTAGGGAAGCAGTAGTACTATCGAACGTCTCAGGATTTCTAATTGGCCAAATTTTACCGTGTTACTGAGATTTGTAGAAATAATGCCAATTTTATTTTCATGTCTTGTCGAACTGCACTAAGTCATTGTGATACTATAGAGTCTTTCCCACAACCTTCCTGCTTCACGAACAAAATTCATAGTTTTCTGCATGTCTTTACATGAAGCTTCTTAGTGTTGGTACATCATTCGTCTTTCATATTATCACTTTGATGATAATAATGCACATTAAACACATCATATACCTGAATTATGCATTCTAAGACTTATTTCTAACTTATTCTACCCTAATGTAACCAAACCATGTTTTACACGAATATATATATATNGATTTCTTTTTAGCAATTTTTTAGTATTTTACCATGTTTTCCTATTTATCTACTATTTTAGAAAATCTAAAAGTCACTTCTTTTAGAAAACCAAAAGTCACTTCCCACATCTCACGTGACTGTTAATAAAACAGTTATGGTACATTTAAAATTGCTATTAAGATAATAGTTATGGTAAACATAAAATTCTAAACGGGACTAGATGGCCATAGGGAAGCAATCACTTTCTCAAGTTTTCTTTTTTTTAAAAAAAAAACAGCCGATCTATGGTGAGTCTCAAGTCTCAACTATTTCCACTACATATGATCTTCTTTCTTCATGTTATTTTACTCTTGTATCCAATCTTATTTGGATTAGTTATTGTTAGTGTTCGTCTCCTCACTACAAAAAAAAGGATAGATTTGAAGGGGTCATATTGTGGGGGTTACGGGTAACCCTACAAATTGCATCAATTTGTGGAGGCTTTGGCAACTGTTGGAGTAGATTGTGGAAGTAGCCAAATATGAAGGATTGCTTTTTTGAGGTATACTCTATACATTCATGCCCAATGCATTGATAGATATGATTCCTCTTTCTTGATTGATGTCGGTTGGTCCCTGATAAAAACATAAAGTTTTCAATGGATAAATCTTGGATTGGAAAGCCGAGGAACACAAATGAGTACTTACTTGGTTTGGATGAATTTTAGAGTTTGCATTTAATAATTCGGCTGCAGGAGATATAATAATATGTTCATGTCCTAAATGTGGTTTTGGTAAGTGGAAAACTAGAGATATAGTGCACGATCATTTGATCTGCAAGCCATTCCCTCAAAATTATGTTATTTGGGATCTTCATAGTGAGAAACGGGTAACAGAGGCGGCGAAGTCTTCTGAAAATATAAATGTAATGCAAGAGACAGTTTACCTAGAAGATCTAATAGAAACAATGATTCATGATGCATTTGGATACTATAGTTTCCAAGATGATGATATAGAGATATCTCAACCATTGGGTGAAGATGAAATATCAAACGAGGAGCATAGGGATGATCCGAGTGATTTTTACGAGTTTCTCAAAGATGGAAATGAAGAACTGTATGAAGGTAGCAAATACACAAAGCTAGAGTTTGTAGTAAAATTATATCATATAAAGGTCTTGTGTGGATTACGTGACAAGACATTAACTATTGTGAGCGCGTAATTTTTTCCCAATATATAAAATTATTCCTAAAAATCTCAAAAAATAGCTTTTAATTATTTTATAGAATTTAAAAAATTTATTTTATATTTTACTTGATTTGTTTTGTGCGTATTTGTGTTTGGAGTAATGTGAGTACGCCAACTCAGTAAGTAATAAAAGTAAAGGCAGCTGAGAGATAAGAAAACACGTAAAACAC